GTTATTGTTGGTGTGGCGACTGCTGTTGGAAATGGCCATGGCCATCGTCAGCACCGCTATTACTACCGGCCGGGTTGTGACGGTGTAAGTGTGTCCCCACATATTTGCATGTTGTTGCAGCAACTATAAATTAAAAAACGAAAACATCAACAACAACAAAAACAACGATTTTAGCGGCAACGTTACAAAAAATGCGAATAACAGAAACAAAAGTAGAAGAAAAAAACAATACAGAACAAACATTTAAATAAAACCTATAAAAATCCAAATGAAATGAACACCCGACCTATAAATGTTGCTGCTGCTGCACCACTTGCAACAATTGATGTTCCACACCGAGTGTTTGTGTTGTTGGGTTGGTTGTCCATATGTGTGTGTGTGTGTGTGTCTGCAAAAATTAATGTTGCAACAATTGGCAACAACAGTTGTTATACAATTTATGCTGCCAAGTCAACAGCAAGAGCGAGCGATGTAGCAAGTTGAAGAAATATTGCATTTTTAACTGTTTGTCAGTTGGTGGCACATTTGCATGATATAGACTCAGCTGAGGAATTCATTGATGATGGTGGTGGTGCTGCTGCCATGAAACGTTAAATTGCCAGCACGCACCCAGCTGACTGAATTGTCTCACACTGTGAAGTCTTTCCCCAGTCTATTAATAATGTTTAATTGGTTTTCAACGAGTTGTTGAAGCATGAGCAGCGCTGTAGCCAACGTAGAAGCAGCAGCAGCAGCTGTCGTTGGGCGCCAATAGTCAGTCTGTTTCAGATTCTTAACAAACTGCAATTGCAATTCATTTGCAAAGAGGAAAAGAATTTCCGCTCTTTCTTATTTGTTTTCTGTGTAGCCAGCCATGTGCCAGTCTGCGAATGCTATGAACATCAATGAAGTGTTAAGAAGTGTTTTATTGTTTTATTTGATAAAAAAAGTAATTTTATAAGTTCACAATTTATTGCAAATATAATGTGTAATATAATTGATGGTAATTGTGTCTATCGATGATATAATTGCGTATGTGTCATAATTGCATATGGGAAAAATCACAGGAATATTGCAACAGTACTTATGGCATTTTGGGAATCTCGTCATTCATTATCAGTCCATTAGTAAGAACTTGAATTTGAGAGATCCATAAGTTTTTATATTCTTTATCTTAATACAATTACTTTTTTTATTTATCAATGACCCTCTATCTGCTAAATTAACAATATTTATGATAGAACTTTTGCACATAGCTCCTGGGATGTTTAGGATTGACAATTGGATATATCACTCTCCTCTCCTTGAAGTCCCCATTTGCATACCGGATCCACCTTTTGACATAAAGTTCCCATTCTATTTTCGGTATATTGAAAGTTAGTACTTAATTTATTCAGAGTATTAAAAAATACTTTCTGGCAGGCAATACAAATAATGGTGGGTATAACGAAGTTTTTACATATTACCTTACATACATATTTACCTTTTGCAAATATAAAGGCAATTCCTAGTGTTGCCCTCAGTCAACCTTTGTTCAAATTGTATAACAATTGTTTACTGTGTGTTTATTTTTTATTTTAATTAAACAAATATCAAGAGTCGAAAAAAATATTCAATTGAAATTTTTTGACTTGAGGCTTTGTTTCAATTTCAATATTTTGTCATGCCTGTCGTTCTAATATGGCAAATATTCATTCAAATGTAATAACACGCTAATAATACATCAAACACATTAAGGCAATGGCATTAATTAAATGTTTAACGTTATATTTTGACACATAAAAGCTTTGCATGTTATCAATGCATACATTAACAATGGCAACAACAACAAGAACAACAACGACAGCCATGTGAATGAGTGTAGAAAAACATACACCTGTACGGACATACATACACACACACACACACACGTACATTTCAACACATTCATGTGAATGAGCATTTTTGCAAACAAGTTTGAGTACAAACGACCCACAAGTACTTTGAATTAAATTTGCATATTTGAAATGGTAAACATACACAAACACACATACAGGTTGCTCAACACACACTCATATACTTTGTCAACCACTACTATGCACCATGCCGTTTGGCTGGCTGGCAAACACTCAGCGACATATGAAATTATTAACATATTTTAAATTGAAATATTAAAAAAGCTTCAACGGAAACTACAGACACCCCTAACTCATATGCACACACATTTGTATATAATACACACACACACAAACCTGATTTCAAATTTGTATTCAAAATTAAGAGAAAGCCAACAGAAAAAATAGCACAGGAATTGTTTGAATGGTTATTGTTTAAAGATTCCCCCCTCTATCATTCCCGTTCGCTCTTATATATTGCATTCCTGGAGCGCTTCATTTTCATGTGGCACCTTTCGTTGCTGCACGATATCATCATGGAGACGGTTCCCCATTTCTGCCAGCATCCAGCATCAGAAAATCAATTAAATTCTACACTTTAAGCTGCCGCAGGAGGATTTTCATGAATGAATTTTATGCGCCAATGAATATAAAACAAATAAAAATGGGTGACACACAAGTGAAAGAGGAAGAAGAAGAAGAAACAAACAAAAAATATACAAGGGACAAAAAACACACTCACACACACACAATTGTTGGAACAAATATTCACCAACAATTGCAAAAAATAGTGATGCGAAAACGTATAGAAAAGATAGTTCAACACACACATGAGCTTGAATTTTACTTACTCACACAAAGGCATTCACACGCTTGTGAATGTGGTTGTGCTGCCCACATAATGCCAAGGAAAGTCAAAATTCCATAAAATGCATGAAAATGAAAATATGTTCGCTATCCGATCAGGTTCAGGGATGCCATATTTTCCGTATATGGCAATTGAACAGGTTTGGAAAAAATCAACTTTAAAACCAGTAAGGAAAGTAGTAAAGGCGCACTGGACCGACTATATGGTAGCTTTCACCACTTTGGGTATAACCTACATATGTATCCTAACAGACATCGTCGCAGCAACATTGACATGAAATTGAACGAATTTTAATATGTGATCTTTATCTATATGTGATCTGGTTAACATCAATCCGTAGTAGGAAATTGTCGGCCAAAATTTGGGTCTTTAGTGTATAATTTACATAAAATCGGACGAAAATATATAAAAGAGCTATATCTTGATCTGAACGGAACATCATTCCAGACTCAATTCAGTACCCTATGCCAAATTTCGTCCAAGTCGAAAGAAATGTAGGGGCTTTGGTACACCATTTAATAAAATTGGACGAACATATATATGCGAGCTATATCTAAATCTTCCCGAAACTTTGCTCTCATCGTTCTAGACTCAATTCAGTACGCTATGCCATATTTCGTGCAAATTTAAATAATTACAAGGACTTTGATGCACTAATTATATCAAAGCGGACGAAAATATATATGGAAGATATATATATATATAAATCTGAACCGATTTTCACCAATTCCAAAAAGGTTTGTCCTAAGGCCACACATGGACCCAAAAATTGAGTCCATGTTTTGACATATCACCTGTATAAAGGACCCGCTTTACTTTCGGTATACTGAAAGGTTACTCCCATTTCCTAAATGAAGTACATCCCGAGATCTTGGATGAAATATTTGCAGTACATGATGGATATTTTGGGTATTTTAAATGCCCATCAAAGAATGGAGGGTTTAAAGCTCAAAATAATTGGTCTCTATTATAAAAAGGTCTGGCATCCTTAATTTCATTTTTTAATGTTGGCATTTGAATGGCTATAGTTATGTTCTTTTGAATATGTGGAGTGTGTGTGTGTGCAATGCCGTGTATATTTGAATATCCTAAGAATTTAATTTGGATTCAAAAGTTTACGTTTTTGTGCAATTTTTATGCAAATAAAGCACAAATGTGTCCTTTTTTGTCGTTTCGTCATGGCTGAACGTTCATTTGGCAATTTTTGCAAAGTATTTTTTGTTTTGCAGTTGCATATAAAGTTAAAAGTAACCCACACACATGCACACAGCAGACACACTCAAACAACGACACGTAGAAAGAAAATGAATTGAAACCATAAAAAAACGAATGCAGGACAACAATAAAATATGGCGGCGACATGTTGCAATAAAGGCTTTTAATAGACTCGGGATATATGCAAAATAAAATAAGAAAATCCAAACAGAAAAAATAAGTGATAATAAAATATATTGAGTACTTGAGGATGAATGGCACACAAAAAATACATGGAGTCTTATCTTCTTTTGGAATTCGCCAAACAGAATTGTATTTTTCTTTAGACGGATTAAATGTGCTGCTCTGCCGCCGCCTAATATTTGAGCCAGTCAGCGCAATGGCTAAGGCATATTGAATGGAAAATGCAAGGGATAAAGTTATTGGTGACAAATGGAAATTTGAAGTGTAATTTTGGAGTGAAAAAATACATAGATAGCTATTCATAGTTTCTTATATAAATATAGGAGTGAGGATGGGGGAAATATATATATATGATTTTGTTATGCAAAAGGACATAAATTCTAAATAATCTTTTCAGAGATGGCTGGTGTATTTTTAAAGGTTGTTTGGATGGATAAAACCAATAAAACATTCCCACCTAAAATATCTCAAGAAATGTTTTTTTTTTCTCGTACCGTATGTCCGCTTACACAATGGTAGTAGACAATCAAAATTCCGCTCTACATTTACAAACCAATACAAAAGTTTGTGCTGTTGTATATTTAAACAGTTTTTGTTGTTTTTAATTTATAGAACAACAGAAATACCTCCTTTCCCCGCATTGTCATTTTAATTTGTTTTTAATGTTTTTCATCTGTTTGTGAAAATTACTTTGGAAAAATTCTTTCCTTCCTCCATGAATGGTGTTTTTCTGCCACGGTCTGTCTAAATATTGTTTACCATATTGTTGTTTTTTGTTGCTGTTGTCTATTTGTTTTAGTTTTGTAAAGAATTTCTGTTTCTATTCTTTGAAAATATAATTCAGTTTAACATTCTTTGTTTTTTGGTCTTTCTCTTTGCAGTGCGTGATCATTGCCATCGTCAGCGCAGCGAAGGTGTGGACGTTAAGGCAAGACGTAAACTTCTCATTGCCAGCGGTCTTTGCTTGTTTTTCATGATATGCGAAATTGTGGGTAAGTACGCACACACACCATTACAAATTAATATTGTCCAAATGATGGAACAAAAAATAAAATAATTTGCCTTCCTCGATTTTCATGTGGCATGTTCATGTTTTTCTTTAAAACTGGGTCTGGAGCGGAATACTAAATAGGCTGTGGCCGGCCAAAACGAACAAAACACGAAATCATAATTTATTACCATTTAAATAAGTAGAAAATTGGGTAAAGATTGGGCATTGTGTTGAGGAAGTGTTTGAGTGTATGAGGAAAGAGAGAGAGTGAGAGAGTGTTTGATGATGGTCAACCACAAACAACAACTGGTAGCATGTCCTTGAGGGCATTTTCGTTGTGGTTAGAATTTTCTACCTCATCATCATTGTAATGTAAATGAGATTTGAATTTAAATGGTGCCTATTTTGTTCTATGAAATATTTTTAAATTTTCAAATAGCCCGAGGTGTAGTAGTAGAAGTTTTATTGTCAATGACAGACAAGTTTTGTTTTTTTAAGATTTTCAAGCTCTGCGAAAACAATGATTTCCCCGCCTCCCTCCTTGTGAATGACAAAAACACGCAAGCAACTGATTACGCTCGTAATGAGATATGTTGGTGAAGAGTTTGATACGATGGGGATTGGAATATAAGATGGAGTTGGAATATGAATTTCTATGTACAGTTTACCTTAAATTGATGTAACTGGCCACGTTTTTTCATTAAATAACATTTTTTGTTTAGTGGATTGTTTTTCACTAATGCGGGGGCTATCCATATAAACTTTTGGCCTATTAATGGAAATGCGAATAATTTTTATCTAAATGTTTTTTTTTAACTCTGTTGCCGGCTTTATAACAACACTTTGACGCACTTAGAGGTACATTGGTAAACCTGACAAACTCCTCAAAACCTTAAATAGTTAAAAATCTACTCCTTCTATAGATCTCGAAAAATATGCATTTTAAAAGATCCACGCCTCTTCTAGGTCTAGAAAAAAACTCCTCTAATCCTATAAAAAATTAATTATGTAATGACCTTGAAAAAAAATAATTAACGTCTCCTATAGCCATGAAACGAAATATTTCAAAGATCGACTCCTCCTTAGACCTCGAAATTTTTTTTCAAATGTCGATCTCTTCTATAGAAGCCGAAAACATTATTTAAGAATCCACGCCTATAGACCTCGAAATTTTTTTTTCAAAGGTCGATCTCTTCTATAGACCCCGAAAAATTTATTTAAAAAATCCACCCCTTTTCTAAGCCTAGAAAAAAATGTTTAAAAGAATTAAGAATACTAATATAGAATTTCAGTAGGGGATTTATGGGAGTTAATTACATTTCATTACCCATATTATCGATTACACTAGTCTGGGTTGTGTCTTTGCTATCGATCACAGTTGTGGTGCAATTCATCTCTGACGATTCGCATCTTCGCTCCAAACACGAGCACCACCATCTAGCGGGCAATTGTATCAACAATATGCAATTTATTACGATTCCAAATTAACTCTCATTGGAAAAAATTATTTAAAACATCCACGTCTTGTGTGGGCCCTGGAAATTTGTTTTAAAAGATCCACGTCTCCATTGGTCCCTGGAAAACATTATTTAAAAGTTCCACGCCTCTTATGGGCTCTGGAAAAATCATTAAAAAAATTCCACGCCTCTTATGGGCCCTAAAAAAAACATTTGACATAAACAATAAATATTTATATGCATCAGTTCACTTAACTGATTTCCAACATTCCAACGAAAACTTCTTAAGTTTTGTGAATGACATTGTAAACCACCTGGCACTTATCATCACATCCTCTTGATGTTTAAAAAATGCATAACAATTAAACGTAACACACAAGGGGACATCTGATCCAGATTTCACATTCTTCTATTTTATTGCCCCAAAAATAAACATTACATTTCCATTCCCACCCTGTCCCTTACAATCGAACTGACAATATCAATGTCATTTAACTAGTGGTCATATCATTCGAATCCATCAATAATACTCGACTGCGAAAGGCAAACTAACTACTTGCTGCAGAATTGCTGCATTTGTTTCAATACTTCATTGCAATTTGGGTTGGTGGTTCTTTTCCTCTTGATGTGATGTCATGTCAGTCATTTCGAAGTTGTTGCCATTCTTCAGTGTTATTCTTTTGCATGGACGACCCACTCGGCTCTACTTCACAACGCTTTTTCTTCTTCTTCATGCATTCCAAAAATGCCCATACTTCGTTTTTCGGTATGACAATGTGAAAAGGTCATTCGTGTACATTTTATTGGCCTCATAGACAAACGAGCAACTCCGCCTTTTCAGTGTTGTTGTATTGGATCCCTTTTTTTGTTCGTGTTGCTTACCCTCCAGGCGTTTGAACTTCAGAAAAGCATGAACAGAACAAATGATACCTTTCTGTCGTCGTCGTAGTTTGGTGTGTAGGACGACGACGGGCGCCTATGCCTGAAATGAAAACAGAACGTAAAACAACAACAACAACAGCAAAAACAATATGTGTCTCATGTTACAATCAATTTACAGGTGGCATTTGGTCAAATAGTTTGGCAATTGCAACAGATGCTGCTCACTTGTTAACCGATTTTGCAAGTTTTATGATATCCTTGTTTGCCATATGGATTGCCGGTCGACCTTCAACCCAACGGTAAGTGTTTTTGTTCTTTATATTTGTTTTTTTCTTATTTACCCACTAAAACAAAACAAAATGCTGTATCATCCTTTTGTGGGATTTTAAAATTGTCCAAAAAATAAATTGTCCAAAAAGTGTAGAAAATATAGAGTAAAATCAATTGAATTATATAAACATTAAATACAGCAACATTTGAAAGGAAAAATGTAACGGTCGATTTAGAGGGGCTAAATGGACACACAGAAGTCAAAGGACACTTCTTAAATTGTTAAAAAATAAAGAGTGATTCTGAAGATAAAGGAAATTGTACTTTCCACGAATTCATAACCCGATCTTTTGATTGCGAAATCTGGCAGTAGAAGAAGGAGTCTTACAACCATCATTTGTATTCCCAAATTGTCATATATATCGAACAATAAGGACATTATTCTAGAGTTGCATCAAATCGAATGTCACTATTTAGTATCAGGTTTCTAATACACCAATTTTATAGTTACTTCGTTGAATTGAGATAAGATCCGCTCATCCCTAACGTTTTCATACTCAATATCATTTCCAAGGGTTACAAGCGGAATGAACCATTTTATATCGACTTAATTTTTTTTAAACTAATTATTACAAACCAGTGAGCGGAGCAGTATAATCGGTCGGGGCCGACCATCTGATACCCTACACAACTACTTCTAAGCTCTTACTTTTTTGTGAGGTTTGTTCCGAGCCTGGTATTATTTGCGATAATTGCATTTTTTAGAGGTCAACAGCTCTTCTGCGGCATCTTTTCTCTTCTAAAAATCCACTTTCGGCTTATACTTGTAGCGAATATACCGGCTAAAAAAATCAGACAAAAATAACATTGTCGGTCATTTCATCTCTGGAATATCATCGAAAATTATAGTTGTTGTTTTTGACAATAAATGGAACCTCAGGAAAAATTTCGTAGCTATTAGGATTACATTTCCCCCTCCAAGTCTGGTAATGATAACACTAAACAATATCAGAATTCGTAGACCAACTTAAATATTTAAGTATAACTTCCTTATCAGGGTACATGCAACCATTCAATTGGTATCAATTTAAAGCAGTGGCAGGCAGACAGTAGTTTTTTACATTCTTTTCCACAATAATTACTCTCAAAGAAATCACGCGTGAGGTATTGCCTGATGCGGATTTAAAAGTCAACCAATCCTCTTGGATATACTGTCAACATCTGTTTGCAGAAATAAATATTAGGTTGGGGAAAAAGAAATCCATTATTTTAATATGAACTATATGTCTTTATTTAATATGTCCGATTTGGTCCAAATTTGCACCGTTTTGTTGTATGATTTGTTGCCATTTTAAAGATAACTTCATAATGTCTCTCTCATAGAAGTCCTGCTATCTGTTTGCGAAAAACTCGACTTTCACAATCCTCCCTAACTTCCCAACCAAGCTCCCGAAGTTTATGGCGGGTGTCTGTAGATGTGTTTTGTTCTGGGCTCTCCTGTTGGGCAATTCTGGCCGTTTCTGGTCAATTGCTATCTTCAAGCGGTCCAGTTGTTGACAGTAGAGAGCAAAATTTAGCGTTTGGCCATATGGATGCAACTCATAATAAATAATCGACTTCCAGTCCCACCAAATGCATAGCAGATCCTTTCTGGCCGTTAATCCTGGTTTGGCCATCGTTTGAGGTACTTTACCGCTATTTGACCACAATCGTTTTCGCTCAGGATTATCGTATGTGATACATTTCTCATCTCCAGTCACCATCCGTTGAAGAAATCGGTCTATCTCATTCCGTTTGGCAAAGGCTTCGCAGGTGGAAATTCGATCCATCCGATTTTTTTCTGTTAATTGGTGTGGCACCCAAACATCGAGCTTCTTTTTGAATACAGCTTAGTGTAAATGGTTTAAAACAGTTTAATAGTAGATTTTTAGCTCTTGAGCGAAGTTACGACAGCTAACATTCCTGTCAACTTCGATCATTTCTCCGATTATATCGACATTTTCGCCTAATGGGTTTCTTTTCCCCAACTTAATATTTGTAAAAATATGTTTGCCCACCGTATCTCCTACCTTTGTTCATCCTACAAATATCATCTAAAGATTTATTTCGTAAATTACTAAAGTTTTCGATTGATATGCTACAATGACTATTTTCCACTTAAAAAATACGCACACTTTTCTCCAACATGGCAACAACGATCCCACATTTAAGACTTTTATATTTGTTCGTTAGTTTCCGGTCATTTAATTTAATGTCAACTTTTGTTCAAAAACACACATACACTGCACCAATATCACCATTCACGCCAACCCACCTCTATAAATGTTCACATTTTTTTAGTTTTATTAGCGTCTTTAGACTACTACAAATTTTCTATGTCATTTAATGGGCAAACCAAAAAACTATAGCATGGCATCGGGGTTCTGGCAGGTCCACGAATTGATTCAAACATATGTGAACATGAATTCGATTTGAGATTCCATATTTCTCGGTGGGAGTAAAATAAAAAGAAAATGTTGCGAAACCTGCAAACAAAAATTCCCCTTCTGTTTTTTTTTTTTCTCATTTTGGTTTCTCTTTTCTTTTTGCCAAGTATTAATAGCAGTTCTTAACAGTGTGACAAATTTCTTTCTATTATTTGTTTCGTATCATTCACACAGCAAAGTGTTAGCAGGGGAGAGAGAGAGAGAGCGAGCGAGGGCGGCATTGTAAAGCATTCTGATAAACGAGCGTAATTTGTACCAACAGGGGTGATATGTTGTGTTTCATTCAGGAAACGGATATGTACTGTGGCTGCACGTGAGCGGTTGGTTGGCAGTTAGCTAGCAAGGCTATTGGTCTAAATTTGTTGTATTTGTGTGGGTGTGTGTGTGTGAGTAACATTATTTTGATATTTGTTACTTAAAATGTTGAAGTCATGGATTTAGAGGACGAATATTAAAACATTGCATTCAGTTATTCTAATTTTCAAGACATCGATGATTAGACTCTTTCTTTAAATTTAAGGACATATTTAAATACATTTCCAATATTTGTAAAGCCTTCAACTTAAAAATCTTTTAGAAAAGTTTCTCCTATGAAAGGTTATTTGTTCATTTGACTCATAAACAAATACATGATTAACTCCAATGAAAGCCCAACAAAAATCATAATATAAATAGGTCCTTGATAGTTTGCTAAGTAGACTTCCTGTCATGGAGGACAATTTTTTGTTGGTAAATGTTTTTGCAGGTGTTTTTATGGCATTATGTTGATTTGCATGCATGTACATTGTAACAATTTAGTATACACAACAGGCATCCTGCTGTTGTGCGGTCAATATTATTGCCAACTTCAGTATGTGTGTGTGTGTCAGTGTAGCTTGTTGCCTCACATGTAAGTAAAGCCACTCAATATATCACACAATTTGTAAGGTCAAATAATAAGTTTTGTTCCCCTCCCCTCCCATTCCATTACATTTCCTATACTCTTTGTTGGAACACCACAAAAAATTGCATATATTTTGGGTAAAGATAGTTTGTGTCGTAAAAACTTTGACTTCCTTGTTGTTGTCATAAACATAAACTAAAAATTTCCGTATGTTAATGTCAATTTAAGCTATGAAAAAAATCAGCCTGCATAGGAAATCAAGAGAAAAACAAACTTTACCGGAAAAATTGGTTTAAAATAAAATGCATTACATGATGAGATTCTACGCTGGGAATAGACAACAAAAAACGACAACAACAGCAAAAGCAACAATTCACCAACTCCAACCTTAACAAGTGTATAACAAGTAAGAAGGCAACTAAGTCAAGCGAGCTAATGCATATGCCTGCCGGCAGGCGGACCTGCTCACCAGTCACTAAGTCCCCAAAAAACCTACACATTTTGTTTAGCCAGCTTTTAGGCTGAGTTGGTATCCGATATTTTGCATTTGGTAGTTAAGTAGAGGAAAAACACATAGAACTACACACAGAGTAGATGAAAGTAACACAAAAATGCACGTATTTGTTGCCATCATGTTTGCGTAGCACTTTTTATGGAGGTACCCTACAGTTGGGTGTATTATGTGGAGCTGATCACTGAAATACCTTTATATGAGTTTTGTATTAGCCAAAGACTAAGACTAAATGCTTCACCGAAATTGGTTTAAATTTTTAACTTTTTCATATAAATATAAATACTTACATAGCTGCCCTGAGACAGATTATTTGTTCCATAAGCCGGGTTAAAAAAAAAAAAAGATTTTCAGGCGCATCGGTCTTGTGCGCAGCTCTTAAAATTTGAAAGACCATGTTCCGAGAGATTGTGTTCCACTTGATCTTTCCATCGAATTCGTGGTCCTCCCCTTCTGCATGAACCATCAGTTGGCTCGCTTTCATATGAATTTTCTCACAAAATGAACTAGCCATTCTCACAACATGTAGCTAGCCACTGTAGCATACGGCTGACTCTGTTGATGTCCGAGAATAGATGGTACAACACATGGTTTATTCGACGGCGATATTCGACCCATAGATCTTTCGGAGAACTTTTCTCTCAAACACTCCAAAAGCAGGATGTTATAAAGGTCACACGACAAACTGTCACCTTGTCTGAATCCTGGTTTGCTACTAAAAGGCTCCGAGAGGTTCATATCCATATTAATTTTGCAGGAATGCTGAACGCCGATATGGTTTAAACACCTCTGAGCGGATTGGACTGTCGAATACGGATTTATTGTCGACGAATAGTTGGAATGTGTCGATGTATTTTTCGTGGGTCCTTTTCAGGATTTGGCGCAGTGTGAAAATCTGCTCTATAAAATATGGTTTGCCAGTTCTGAAGCCGTATTGGTATGGTCCAATAATGTCATTGACATTGGCTTAAGTCGTTCACACATCACACTGGATAGCACTTTATATGCGATGGGAAGGAAAATAATTCGTCTATAGTTAGGACACATGATACTGATGTGTCAATCATTGGGCATGCATTCATCTAGCCAATTTGTACTAATCAGCAGGTACATGTTCCTGATCAGCGTCTGACCACTGGCCTTGAATAG